CCTCGCGGAGGCACTTGCGAGAGTTCACGGGCAGATGGAAGGAGATGGCGAGCACCGAGCTGGGGCCGAGCAGGAACAGAAAGAGCAACGCACACGGGCGAGGGCCAGGCCAACATAGTGGGCCAGACAAACCAGACATGGTGCCGGAGCCGCGTTCACCACCCGGGGCCTCCAGCGCGCCGGAACCGGGAGGACCCACGTGACTCGCCTCTGACCCAGCGAGGCCGTCGGCGCCATTTTGGAGACTGGCTAGAAAAGAAAGAAAAATGTCTAACAGATAATTTAAAAAAAAAAATCGAGGGAAGATACCGTAGTATGTCAAAACCACGGGCTTAAGGGGCTGAAGAAGAGTTGCCAGATACTGTTTCGAACAGGCTTTATTTATTTTTTTATTGGCGTGAAAGACCGCCGAGTGAGCCATAGTAAGTATGGGCAGCCCTGGAAGTACTTCTAGTTGAACCTGCCGGAAGTGGTTCATGCGCGTTTTAAAGTCGGTGACACCATAGCAACCAGGCCCCAATAAGGAAAAGCCACAAAGTCTTACCTTGGGCCCGCCCACTGACTGCTTAGACTGGGGCTAAAGTCACAGAATGAGATTAGTGTCCTAAAGCTTACTCTGGCAGCGGTTGGGACGGTGAAGCACTGAAGAGGAAAAATGCAAAGGGAAGTTTTAATGGCTTTCAGTGAGTGTGGGCCACTAACTCAGAGGAGGATGTGTAGAGGCCAACAGGTGGATGTGAATTGACAGGTATCCAGTTAACGCCTCTGAACCTGGTATTCAGTCTGGTCTAACTTTGATGTTCGCAGTGTTATTTATTATAGAATCATCAGTAGTCTTCTGTGATAAGCTATACTCTAACCAAACATTTACACTCATGTTTTGGTCCAGTCAGAGATGAGCATAAAATATTTACCAGATGAGCTTTGTCAAGGGAGGAAACTGCATGTTTCCAAAGTGTGTTCTATACATCCCAGTGACTCATTCGTAGTGAGCTGATTCACATAGGAATCGTTCATTGATTTGTTACCTACTGTCTGCTAGACACCACACTATGCGTGTGTAATGTGTTTATTGGTGTACATCCTCATATACTCAATAGACCTAGCCATCTTATTTTAAACCAGTGATAAAGCAATCAAACTAAGTGATCTTTAACAAAATAGTTACTAAATGCTATTATTAGTCAATTTAAAAAATATTTAGTGCCACCGGGCGGTGGTGGCACACGCCTTTAATCCCAGCACTCGGGAGGCAGAGGCAGGCAGATCTCTGTGAGTTCGAGGCCAGCCTGGTCTACAGAGCGAGTGCCAGGACAGGCTCCAAAGCTACACAGAGAAACCGTGTCTCGAAAAACAAAAAACAAACAAACAAAAAGTTTAGCATCTTTATGTTACAACCAAGTATTTAGAGATGAAAAATATACCAAGAGCCCACACTCAGTACCTGTAATCCCAGAGTTTGGGAGGCTGAGGAAGGAGGATGGCCTTGATATTGAGGCCAGTTTGGACTATACAGTGAGTTGAAGCCAGCCTGGGGTACATGTCTCAAAAAACATACTTCAACACCTAAGAATAAACAGTAGCCTGTTTGTGTGTAACCATTATCCACTTTAATTCATGTTTCTTGAACTTTAGCAAAAATAGCCAGAAGATGAACTGTCTGCCCTTAGTGATTTCAATGGTTGATTTTTTTTTTTTTTAATAGCTCCTTTTTGTCTACCAAATCTTTTCCTGGAACAGAAGTCCGAAAACAAAACAAGCACAAATATAGTAGAGTTGTTAAGCATTTTAAGATCTGGCAAATGCCATATAATATTTTATGTGGCATCCACTTAGGAACATTTGGTTTGATTGTTTTATTCCTGATCTCAGATAAGATTGACAGTCTACTGAGCACATCCTGATAATTTGCATAGGCCTTTCCCCTGCCGACGCAGGGGAATGAACACGAATGTTGTTCTGATTCATTGCCCTCTCAAGTCCTACGGGTCTTCTGACCACCAGCACGAGATTTGCAACCTGTAAAGTACCTGTGCGTATGTTTTCTTTACATTTTCATCTTTTACACAATAGGCTGCATATTTTTAAATACCTTCACTTTTTTTTTTCTTTTGAGACAGCATCTTTTGATCCAGGCTGGCCTGGAACTTGCAGTGGTTCTGCTATCTCTGCCTCCTATGTGCAGGCATTCACCATCAGAACACAGCCTATTTTCACTTATCTTAGTGATCTCATCTGATATTTTCAAAAACCCTGTAAAATAATTTAGGCAGAGGTTTTCAGTTTTTAGATAAGAAACTGAGGATATGAGATGATAACAAACTTGGGTAGTATTTTAAAAAGTGCTGGTGACACTTAGCTTGGAGAACTGTAATGCCTTATTCAAGGAAGCTGTGGAGTCATATAGTGGGGTTGTATGGTAAGGAAGAGAACTACAGCTCAACTCCTAAGGAAATATTTGGAGTAAGGGGAATTTCTGGTCAAACTGACTTAGCAGCATTCTTGCTATAATTGAACAATGCCTGGGCATAAAATTCCAAAAAGATGTAGTTGAGAAATAATTGAGAATAGCCTGAATTTAGAGTCTGTCAGTATTCAGAATCCCAGGGGCCAGTGAGAGAGCCAAGGGTAAAGCTGCACTGTTGCCAAGCTTGAAAACTTGAGTAGGATTCCTGGGACCTGCGTGGTAGAAAGAGAAAACCAATCCTCGAAAGTTGTTCCTTGACTTCCACCCTTCCACACAGATAGATAAATAAGTAAATGTGAAACAGCAACACAACCCCACAGCTCAAAAGGGATGAAGGGCCAGGGGTGAACGTGAGCACCTTTAATCTCAGCACTTCCAAAGGCAGGCAGATCTCTCTCTATGGGTTCAAGGTCAGCCTGGTCTGCATGTTGCATTCCAGGACAGTCAGATTGTCACATGAAAACCCTGTGTCAGGAAAAAAAAAATCAAAGGTCAGAGCCTTCCTCAGGAAAACACTGTATTATTTTGCAAATGGAGAAATTGAGGCTGAGAAGTTGGATTACTTCCTGTATCACACACAGCTCTTGAATCTTTTCTTGTCCTGCGTTCTCACTCATTCCCAGCCCCCAACGCTTTGTCTCTGCCTATCATCTATTTCCCCTATTAGCTCTCCGAGTTAGAACCGCCTCCATTTTATTTATTGTATTTTCTTGTCGCCTAACTAGCACAGTATCTTTTTGTAAGGGCAAGGATTTTTGTTTAGTTTGTTCATTGCTTTCTCTTCTTAACCCAATATACTGCTTGCCACTCAGGCACAATCAATGAAGGCAGTGGCTCCTGCAGAAGGCCTAACAGCAAGGCCTCTCCTTTGTTTTTAGCTACTTAACATACATTTATTGACTATATGATGTATCTAAACTGTAATCCTGACTTCAGTTTTACCACCGTTATGTAAATCCCTTTGCTTTTGTTTCTTTGGGACAGGGTCTCCATGTATAGCCCAGAGGGTAGACTCTCAATCCTGCTTCAGCTTCCTGAATGGCAGACTCGCAGGCACATTGTACCATACCTGGCTATGTTTTTCTTATTAGAAAATGAGTCCACAGAAGGACACAGAATAACAAGTGACAAAATCTTGCCTCTGTGCTATGGAGCTGGAGGGTAGGAGACAGCTCTAGGGAACCAAAACTTATAAACTCTGCACCTGTACTGGAGAGGGTACCATCTGATCTGCATGAGGGAAAGGCCTCATTTGGAACTGGTGATGGACTAGAAAGTGCGCCACAGAGTAAAAGCTGCTATCTGCCTAGCAGTCCTGGGCTATCATGTCTGTCGTCCTGAAGCATACCAAGCCACATAACCTAAAATTCCTTAGCCACAAAAGTCTTTGGGGGTTAAGAACATCCTGTCTATTCCTAAGCCATAGGTTTCTGAACTTTTCTTTTATATAAGGGGCATGCTTAAAACACACCTCACTCACTCAGTGAGTCAGCCTTGGGGGCTGGGTAGTGGTGTCAAATGCCTTTACTCCTACCACTTGGGAGGCAGAGGCAGGTGGAGCTCTGTGACTTTGAGGCCAGCCTAGTCTACATGATTAAGTTCCAGGCCAAACAGGATTATATTGGGGGGAGGTGGCATTTGTAACAAATTTTCTGGGTGATTCTGTAGTTGGGAAGCACTTTGGGCCTCTCAGGCTACCCACTTTAACCAGCTAACATTTCAGTGTGGCCTGAGTTTTGTGGGCACCAACCTGTAAGGATCCTTGGCTCCCACATCCCTTCCCGTCCGTGTGTAAAGTCCTGCATGCAATGTGTATTTACATAGCTGACACAGCTAGTCTCTATGAAGATAAAAATATCCTTTGGAAAGCAGTTTGACAGTACTTGCCGAGTGTCCTATTCTCCGGCATGGAGACTAATCCCGAGAATCCCATCAATGGGGTCTTGTAAGTGATGGAGCTCTCCAGATCTGGCCCTGGAACACTTGCGCTGCTCTCTGGTGATGTCATCCAATCCCATGACTCTAAATGCATTTGCAGACCGATAACTTCCAGACATGGATCTCTAGCTCTGACCTCTGCCCTAAGCTGCAGAGTCTACATCCAGTGCCTGTCTCAAGAACTCCACTTAGATGAGTAACTCTAGATTTCCTTCCCCTCTCCTTTGCCTCTCAAATCTGCTTCCTCCTCATCTCCCCTGTAAATAGCACCACCTTCTACCCAGTGCCTGAAACTATCTCTGCTTCCTCTTCCATTCTCTCTTCACACAGGCAGTTCATCAGCAAATCCTATCAGTTCTGTGTCCTAAATAGATAACAATCAGTTTCTCCTCTCTAAGCCAGAGGCTGCAAACTACTGCTCAGATAAGCAGATCAAATCAGGCATGGGACCTTCTGTTTCTGTATTGCCTAAGAGCTAAGAATGTGGGTTTTTTTTTTCTTTCATTCTTTTACATTTTTTAGAGGGTTGTTAATAAAGAAGGAGGAAGAACAGAATGTGTGGCAGAGAACTGTGACCCACAAACCCTGAGATAGTAACTATCAGATCTTTATGAAAAGTATTTTGCTTTTCACACCCAGCAGCTCCCTCCTTACTGTTTTCTCCTTCCCTTCTTATCGACCTGTAACCACATTCGTTGCTATACACAAAGGGATTTTTTTTTGAAGTTTTGTTTATTGTGTGTGATTTGCCTGCCTGCTTGTATGTATGTCTATGTACCACGTGTGTCCCTGGTGCCTTTGGAGGACAGAAGAGGGCATCAGATCTCCTGAAACTGGAGTTACAGATAGTTGCGAGCCACTTTGAGGGTTCTGGATTTCAAACCAGAGCCTTCTACGAGAGCAAACAGTGCTCTAAACTGCTGAGCCATCTCCAGCCCCCAAAGTGACTAAAAAAAAAAAAAGGTAAACCAGGCAAACTAGAATAAAACCTAAGCAGCTTATCACACAGCCACACAG